GAACTGCCAAAAGAATGAACAAATCTGTCTTGGAAGAAGTACAGAGCCAGAATGCTCCTTAGAAGCCAAGGATGGCGAGACTACGTCTCACATACTTTGGACATGTTATCAGGAGGGATCAGTCCTTGGAGAAGGACATCATGCTTGGTAAAGTAGAGGGTCAGCAAAAAAGAGGGAGACCCTCAACGAGATGGATTGACACAGTGGCTGCAACAACGGGCTCAAGCATAACAATGATTGTGAGGATGGCGCAGGACCAGGCGGTGTTTTGTTATGTTGTACTCAGGGTCACTATGAGTGGGAACTGACTTGATGGCACCTAACAACAACAACCTATGAAATAGGCAAATGTATAGAAACCAAAGATTATTAGTGGTTACCAGGAGCAGGAGAGAGGAGGTAAGCGGCAGTCTGCTTAAGGGGCACTGAGTTTCTGTTAATAGTGGTGGAATAATTTGGAAACAGAAAGCGGTCATGGTTGCACAACATGATGAACATAACCGATGTCACCGAATTGTACATGTAAAAACTTTGAATTGACAAATGTTTTCTTATATACATTTTTACCACAATAAAAACAAACAAACAAAGACATATTGTAAAGCTAAGTAACGAAAACAGTGGGGACTGGGCACAGGACTTGACAAACAAGCCAGAGGGAATAGAAACCAGGAAAGAAAGGGCCCATTTGTCCCTGAGGGGTTAATAAATGGTCAAGAAAGCATATTAAAATTGGGATGGGGATGAAAAGAAGGAATGCTCATTCCATTCAGAAACAGTGGACTGTAAAAGTGCTGACTTGGAGCTGAGGAACCATCTGTAATGTGCTCGCATGCACGGATACCCCAAGGGCTGGCAACTGCAGTCCCTGCACCACCCCGGGCCCGTGGAAACTCCTGGAACATGGGCTTAGCCCTAGGGAAAAGTATTGTACTAAATCTGGGGTTCCCAAGGATGGGGTGCTACTGGCGTCTAGTGGGCAGAGGCCAGGGATGCTGCTAAATATTCTACACAGCTACACAATGCACAGGACAGCACAACAACAAAGAATTATCCAGTCTAACATGTCAACAGTGCGGGGTTATGAAACACAGCTCTAAACCAAGTTCCATTCCTTGCACAACCTCTGACCTCTGACCTGCTCTTCCTAAAAGGTTAGCCCCGAGCCCTAGCTGTGGAGGGTCCAGAAGGCCAGTGTCCCGGACATGCCTGGTCCAGTTGGCCAGGGAGTGACTGGGACTTCCCACCTTGTTCTCCTGGAACTGAAAGCTGGGCTGCCCACCCTTCCTGCTGGGGAACTTTCTGTTTTGACCTACCCAAACCTTGGCCTCCAGCAGCTGCTACCTTCCCTGCCCACACTCCTCACCCTGGGCAGCCCCTCCCTTTGCCCTGCACAGGCTGCTGGCCCAGAATCCTTGGGAATGTTCCTGACCTTTGCTTTGGTTTCCTCCAGCTCTCAGCAGCATCTGGCTGTCCCTCTGCGCCTATTTCCCAGCTCAGTCTGCCCAAGCACCCCATTGTTCTCACTCTCCCACCCCACCCCATCCCCTCTTCCCGTCTCAGGGGTACTCCCTCTTTGTGTCCTCCCTTTCGGGGCAACGCTGGTGCCCTCAAAGCCAGTCTACTGAGGGGCTTTGCCAGCCTGGAGTGAGTGCAGGGGGCCCTCCAGACTGATTTGGGTCTGCCCTTGACCTCTGACACCCGTCTGACGCCTGCTGACCCCTCAGGGCTTCTAAAATGGGAGCTGGGGAGCCTGGGTTCTCATCCTCTCCCCCTCCCTGGACTCTGGATCCCCGAGTAAGGCCCTACCCCCAACTCCACTAACCCCCAGTCCTGGAAATGTGAAGATGAAGAGGGTTCCCATTCCCTGTCCCTCCCTGAGGGCACAGAGAGGAGGTGTGGGGAAGGCAGAGTGCCTTGGTATGGAAAGGGCTGTTAGCGGAGCCTCCTAATTATGCATGTGTCTAAGTGTCTCCTAACCAGCCAGCAACTCCCTGAAGAGGAAGGATGTGCTCTTCACATCCTTGGTTTCCGAGGCCTCAATCCCACCATGAACTCACAGGGCTTTGTCCCTGAGTCAGGAAAGGGCCTTGGCAGTGGGACTGAGGTCCCCTTGGGCATCCAGCTCAGAGCTGGTTCCCAGCGAGGGCCCTTCCCCACTCATGCCCAGGGCCCTGAGCCTCCAGAGTGAACACGAGCACAGGCACTGGAGCTGCCAGGGTCTGGGGCAGCTGGGCAGCCTGGCTGCTGGAGCCCTGCAGCCGCACGCCCACACTGCCGCCCTCCTGGCAAGCTCAGAGGATGCCCGAGTCCCCACCGCAGACTCAGTCCCACTGAGAAAGCAAGTCGGGGTGTGAGGAGCCCAAATTCCAGCCTGCAGCTCTCCTGGCCCCCAAAGCTGAGAGCAGGAAGGAAAGGGTCCCTTCCTCGTGGGTCCACAAGGCAGCTGTGCAGCATGCCAGGCCCCACAGGGCCTTTGGGGACTGAGGAAGCAGTTGGCCACATGCTTCCTTCACATGTGGAGCCCAGGGGCCAGAGGACATCAGGCACCACGTTGACTCTCCTTCCAAAGGGCTTGTGTCTGGGGCCTGCGCTAGCTCCTGGTTAGGAAACAGGCATGAAGGGTAATGCGGATGGGGGGTTGCCTAGCCCACCAGGCTTGAGTGCAGAGCGCCGCAGGAAGGGGGCAAGGGGCCCTGTTTGCACTCCCCTCCCACTCCGCCCCGTTTCCGCCTCTCCCTCCATAGGAGAACAGGAAGCCAGGAAGTGGTCAGCCAGCAGGGCTTCCTTCCTTTCTCACCAGCCCCTGGGGGCCTGGACAACTTGGCCTAACCTGTGGGGACCCACAGGTTCTGGGACTGGGGCCACTGTGGGAAAGAGGCCCAGCTGGCCTGTGGGACTCCAGGACACCCTGGGACCAGGGCCTTGGGGAGCCAGGGCGTTCCTGGGCGGGTGTGCTCTGCTCACACCCGCACCCCCATACAGAATGCCTGGCGAACTGCCAAGTGGCTCCCAGTGGCCCCTGACGGGCAAGCCTCCCTCCCTGGGACGAGAGGAATGCCACACCTCCCACCATCAACGGGTGGGGAGAAGTGGAGCATGCTCCGAGCGCCCCCCACCCTGCAGGCTCCCCCATCAAAGAGACAAAGGCTGCCCAGAAGCAGGCCTTGGGAGGGAAGGCTTGGTCCTCGATCCTGAAATCAAAGCTGGGTGGCTGGGTTTCCGCCTCAGAGAGTCACGCTGCATGCCCAGCCCTGAGAAGAACTGGGGTGGGAATGGGCCTCCCACATCCATCTTCTCAGACCACTCCTCCTTGCACTGCCGGCCCCTCCCACATGAAGGGTCCCTGTGCACTTGTTCTCGTCCTCCTTCCTCCCCCTCAGATCATAGAGATGCCCTCCCACAAGTCTGGGTGTGCATGCGTCAGGGGGCAGAAGCATCTGAGGGGGGCCAGCCTGAGTTTTGGAGTCAAACTCAGATCCTGGTTCAGGCTCTCCTTTGCTGTGTGGCCTTGGGCAAGCTGCTTAGCCTCTCTGAACTATGGGCCTCTTCCCTGTAAATGGGGCTGTTTGGGTGAATTCACTGAGATAACACTTGGCCAGGTGCCTGGCCCAGGAAATGGCACCGGCTCTGACTGAGGGTGTTGGAGGTGAGATTCCCGGGCCACGCTTGGTCCCTGAGGAGGGACCCAGCCTCACAGGCCCAGCACCTTATCAGCAGGAGGGGCCCTGGCCCTGGACAAATGGGAGGTAGGAAATGCTGTCCTAGGTCTAGTCTCACTTCCCAAGAGGCACTGAGGCCCACCATGTCCCGGGGCCTCTGGAGAGCAGGGCACCTCTCCACTCAAGGCTGGGCGCTCAAGGCTGGGCTGCCGGCCCCACTCAGTCTCCCTTGGCACTCAGGTCAAAATCCCATTGCCATGAGGGTCTGGTCCTCCCCCATGTGGGCCAGGCCAACCCACAGGCCTTGCAGGGCTCATCTTTCAGAATTGATTTTCTTTGAAGGACAGGAGCCACTGCCAGCCCAGTGGATGATGTTTAGAGCCTCTACTGCTTGGCGCCCTGTGCTGGGTGTCCGAGGGCAAGGAGCTGCTCCTACTGCCTAAGCCCCTGGCCCAGGTCCCTGGCAGGGTCAGGCAGGAAGCTCCCTGTCCTCCTTATACCCAGCCCTTGAGTGCTGGGCCCAGGGCTGGCTGGGGGTGGTCGCTTGAAGGGGAGCCTAGCACCTGGCACCTCACTCAGCCTCCCAGTTTCCCCAGCAGATGGATAGCATTAGCCCATTTTATAGATAAGTAACTGAGGCTCTGGCAGAGCCAGGACTCAGATCCTGCACCATGACCTCCCCTGAGGTCCAGGTCCTCCTTACCGTCTGTTGGGGTCCTTGTTGGTGTCCTCAGCCTCTGCACCCCAGACCTCAGGCTGCCTGGGGATGTGTGGGCCAGAGAACCTGGCACCAGGAGCCTGGGCACAGGCCCCCAGCAGCCCCCATACTAGGTGCCCCCCAAGGCCAAGCAGCAGCATCAGGATCATCTCTGCTACTGGGGCAGGCTTGGGCTCGGCTTGTACAAGTGACTCCAGAAACTGCCAGTGACATCATCCTCATATTAAGTCTCAGAAGGAAAAGAAAACATGAGGACAACAAAGACAGGAAGTGGCGTGGGCTGGCGCACCGGTGGGCCGCCCACCCCGCCTGGACCATCCTAAACAGCCAATATGCCAACAACGCAGGCTGGTTCCTGTGCCCTGAGAGGATTGGGGTCAGGGACACGGGGGTGTGGGAGGCACAGGGAGGCAGCCCCACCAGACATGTCCCCTGGAAGCCTGGTCCCAGGAAGCAGGAAAGCATAAGCCTTGCGGTGGGTCTGCAGGAAGTGGTCGGGCTAGCCTTGGGGGGCTGCTGGCCATGAGGTGGGAGGCACTTCACACCTCCTCAGCACTTTTCACCACTGTGCCATGGGAACCAGCAGTAGTGGGGGCTCTGAGAGGAAGAGGAAAGCCTTAGGGGGCCCCTCGCCTTCGCCCCTCGGCCTGGCTTTGGGAGCCCTGGGTTGGGAACACTCAGTGTGCCCATGAGTAGCTGGGTAGCCCAGGTTGGTCTGGGAGGTTGGCCACTCACCTGACAGGCCTGTGGGGCCCTGACCCCTGCCCTACCTGGGGCACTGGGGGCATTAGCAAAGGGTCTTTCATTCTCTGCACCTGTTTCCCCAAATGTAGTATAGCCTCCGTGGGTGGGCAGGGCGGCTGAATGCAGGGCAGTGATGGATAAGGAGGGGTCCTGCCCCTGTAGCCCCTCTTGCCTGCAGGGAGAAAGGGAGCAGAGGTGAGGGCTGCTCCTACTGCCTGGGTGGTGGGGGATGGCGGGGCCAGACTCTTCCCTGCCTCCCTCCCTCCCTCCCTCCTTCCCTCTCTGCCTCCCTTCCCCGGGCTGGCTAGGCTCCCATCAGCCACCACATCAATATTTCATCGGCATCAATAAGAGGCAGCGGAGACAATAAGAGTCAGCAGCTGCTGCAGGCTGGCCAGCTTGCAGCCAGCAGCTTGAAGGGTGTCAGCTCTCCATCCCTACCCTCCACCATGGATGTCTTCAAGAAGGGCTTCTCCATCGCCAAGGAGGGAGTGGTGGGTGCTGTCGAGAAGACCAAGCAAGGGGTGACTGAAGCGGCTGAAAAGACCAAGGAAGGGGTCATGTATGTGGGTGAGTAGAGGTGTGGTGGGTGGGCGGGGGTGGTGGTGGCTGGCAGCCAAGTTCCCTTTGACCTGACCTTCCTCTCAGGCCCAGGAAGGCACGGGCGGCTGGCAGGGCAAGGACCGGCTGTTAAGCCAGGGTGTCCAGGTCCCGTAGCACCCCCTACCCTCTGTACACACCAGTGTCTGTTTGCTTCTGGCCTCCTTGGAGGCCCCCAGGGGTCTCTGGGATGGGACAGTAAGAGGGGATTCAGACCTTAAACACAGCCCAGCCTGGCCTGACCCCCCAGGTCACCCAGTTGACCAGCTGACCATCAGTTTGTACACATACAAATGCATTCACAAGCACACAGACACTCCCCACAGCCCCCAGCCTCAGCATCACCTGCAGCCCCTGGACCCAGACAGGAAGTGACATCGAGCCAGGAGCCCCGCTTGTCCACAGCCACTCATGGGAACACAGCCCCACCCAGACCCTGGCCATGCCATGAGCAGACAGGTGCTCAGGTGGGCTTCCCTCCCCTCTTCATGCAGAGCTGCTGGGGCCAGCAGCCAGAACACAGATCCCCACCCTGCCTAGAGGGGAGGGGTAGGGGCTGGGAAGACAAGACTGAGTCTACCTCTTGCCATCCCCCACTTGGCCCCTTGGAAGGAGGAGGCCAAGCAGATGACTCAGCTCTCAGCTGCCCTATCCTGCTGCTGCTTCTGGGGCCAAGGGCTACAGCTGGGCAGGGCCCAAGCAGCTCAGGCATCAGTGCCCCTACCTCAGGCCTGGTCTCTTTATTCCCCCCATCCTGTCTTGTCCCCTTCCTGTCCTGTCTACTTCCTCTAAACACTGCAGGAAGCAGTCCTTTGAAGGGGCTGTGTGGGCCCCAGATACCACCTCTCACCCCCCACCCACCCCACAGCTGTTCTGTGGTGTGTTTGCCCTGACCTCCCAACACTCCCTGGGCTGATGCCTCTATTTCCTCCCCAGGAGCCAAGACCAAAGAGGGTGTTGTGCAGAGTGTGACCTCAGGTGAGGAGCCCCCAGAATCAGGGAATAAGGGAGCTGAGGACCCCCCCCCCCCAGGATTCCTGCCCATTAGTACTGAGGATCCAAGCCCAGGGCCCTCCCTTACCCCGCAACTGGGGCTCCAAGCCCTGCACAGACCTAGACCCCTCCAGATCCTGAAGCTCGACCCTATCGGGGGAACCCCCATCAGTATCAGAGCTCCACCCAAGTCAGAAAGGGGGAAGCCTGGGTGTTGGCAGAGCCAGAGTTTGAATCCCCTGGGAAAGGGGCTGCTCCTGCCTAACTGGGCAGGCCCAGGCCCAGGTGGGGAGGGGTTCCGGCAGAGGCCTGGCAGAACCATCGCCCACAGTTGCTGAGAAGACCAAGGAACAGGCCAGTGCCGTGAGTGAGGCAGTCGTCACCAGTGTCAACACTGTGGCCATCAAGACCGTGGAGGAGGCAGAGAAAATCGCGGTCAGCTCCAGGATGGCGCACAAGGTGAGCCCTGGTCCCCATCCTGGGCCGTCGCCGAGGCTTCACAGTCAGCACTTGTTGCCCACCTACTGGGTGTCAGGCGCTGTGTACATCCACTTCACATGCGCTGATGCCTAAATCCTCACAATACCGCCTTTGAGGGAGAGAGTTTGGGGCCCATTTCATAGACGTGAAAACCAAAAAAACTAAACCCGTTGCTGTTGAGTCGATTCCAACTCACACCGACCCTACAGGACAGAGTAGAACTGCCCTATAGGGTTTCCAAGGAGCAGCTGGTGGATTCAAACTGCTGACCTTTCGGTTAGCAGCTCAACCACCGCGCCACCAGGGCACCATAGATGTGGAAAGTAAGGTCGAAAACTACTCTCTCCGGATGACAATCAGCATTTAGGAGATACCACACTTGACAAGTGAAAACAGGGTCCTGTGGGCCCCACATACCGACAGGCAGCCTCCAGGGCAGCAGACACCAGGCCAGAGCTGCTGAATCACCACACACAGAGTCCAGCTTTCCTCCCAACCTGGCCCGGATGAGGCGTCTTCCTGGGAGGAGCAAGGAAGCAGTGCCCCCTGGTGATGGGAAGCTGTGAGGGCTCTGAGCCCCACCCTGCACACGTGTGTGTGTGTGTGTGTGTGTGTGTGTGTGTGTGTGTGTGTGTGTGCGCGCGCGTGCGTGTGCGTGTGCATATGGGAGGTGCCCTGGCAGTGAGCACACAGGCACAGTGGGGCCCTCCCCAGAGGCCAGTGCCAGCTGGGCTAGTGAGTGGGGCTGTCCAGGCACTCACCACAGAGCAGGCTCCACTTTAGTCCGTACAAAATCCTATGAGCTAGGGTGTGGAAACGAAGGCCCAGGGAGATTATGTGCTCCAGGTCACACAGCTAGTTGGAGTGACCTCGGAATTCCCACGGCAGCCTGGCTTCCAAGTCTGGGTGTGAGCGTCAGGTAGTGGTGGGGACGGGGATTCCAGCCTGGGGTGAGGTCTGACTCCAGTGATGTGCTGTCTCCAGCTGTCTTCTGGAAAGCTCAACTACCTGGCACAGGTGGAGTCAGAGGCTTCCTGTGACCCAGCTTTGGGGAGTGAGTGGGTAGAAGGGTAGAGGACCTTCCCTGCTCCTGACTGTGGTTACGGGGACTAGGAGTCTGCTTCCAGGGGCCCTCTAGGGTCAGCACAGGCTCTTTATGTCCTTGGAGCAGGCAGCTCTGCTCCTTTCTAGCTGCCTCACTTCAAAAAGTGACTTAACCTCTCTTGGTCTACATTTCCTCCTCTGTAAGACCGACTGAGAGTATCTGTCTCATTGGGCTATGTTATGATTCAGGAAAACGGACCACATGTGATTACATGACCTGCATCAGAGGCCCCTGAGCAGGGCCCAGAAGTGGAGACAGCCCAGGAGACAGCTGACTAGGGAAGCCCAGTCTCACACCTGGCCCCCTCTCTCCCCACCCCCCAGCAAAAGAAGACCTGGGGTGGGGCCGGGGAGAGGGCTGGTGAGACCTTGGTGTTGCCCCAGGCCCTGGCTGGGGGTGACTGCTCCAAAGGAGACTCATTTCCTGGTAACACCCCCAAAACCAGTCACAATTCACCCCCCAGTGAACCATGGAAGGATGTAGCAATGCCTGTCTGATTGCTCCTGCCACCAGCCCCATCTGCCCGCCTTGGGGCAGCAGGGCCTGGGCAGGTGCCACCTGTTCTTTCCCCGGAGAGTCTGCCCCATCTCCAGCTGACAGTTCAGTGCCCTTTTATGCCTCACCCCACCAAGGGGCAGGATGTGGCAGGACCCTCCAGAGGTGGGTGCTGGACCAGGGTCCAGGCAGCTCACCCAGTTTGGCCCTGCCCACTCCAGCTGTCACATGACCACTTCCCAGGCAGGTTCCCATCTTAGCAAGCATCCAGCTGGCCTGGTGTGTGGGGAAGTAGAAGAAGATGGGAAAGTGGGAGGCATCCATGCTACTGGTGACAGGGGTGGGCCTGGACCAAGCCAGACCTGATCCCCATCAGCCCCACTGCTTTCGAGCTCTGAGGCCTTGAGCTGGATACTCAGGGTCCCAGTGTATAAAGAGTAATGACACACTCCTCCTCCTATGGCTGTCTACGGTCGGAGTAAGGCAAGGGTGTGATCATGTGATTCAGGGACACTGACGGTGGGGTCAGACCTGGGGGCCTCTGCCTACCCTATGCCACCCAGGATCTGGTGTCCTCATCAAGAAGCCCAGGCCAGGGGCTGATCGCGTGATCAACTTCGGGTGCGAAGCTGGGCTCTCTGGTGCTTGGCATCCCTAGAAGGCCTTGGTATCATCTGACAGGACCCCAGCTGTGGGCCCTTCAAAGATGTTCTGTCCATCCTCATGGTCAGTGTGACCTGCACACCTCCCTCACCTCCGGCCCCTCCGGCCCTGGAAGCAGGGCAGCTGGGGGCCTCTGCATCCTCCACATGGCCTCCCCTCTACTTTGCACCCAACAGGAGGACTTGGCGAAACCGGTGCCCCCACAGGAGGCCGAGGCAGCCAAAGAGGAGGAGGGAATGGCTAAGGAGGTAGGAGCTGAGCTCCCAGGGGGCCCCCAACCCCACCCAGTCCCACCTTGTGTGGGTCCCTGGGAGAGCCCTCATCCACAGGAGGACTTTGGGCAGGGACCTCCACTCCCACAGACTTGCTGCTTCCCTCCTGGAGTCCAGAGCCCTCCCGGGAGCCCCCCCCCCTTTTGCAGCCCTCTGGCAGGGACTGTGGGCAGGACCAAGCCTGAGCCTGAGAGTGAGGTCACAGATGATGCCCTTCCCCACCCCCCAACTCAGCTTGGATCTAGGAGGGGCACTGAGGGTTGGGGCCCGGAGCTGTGTGTGAGGGTCACTCTCTCTCCCAGGCTGAGAGTGGAGGAGACTAGGGGGCTGGAAGTCGCCAAGGAGGCCCTGAGGTGCCACCCCTCTGCCTTGGACCCCATCCCCTCCTGGCACAAGGAGTGCCAGCCCAGGAGTGTGACCCTGCGCAGCTGCACCTGCTCCCTCCCGGCACCCACAGGCCTGTCCTTCCATGCTGCCACCGAACCACCACCACCTTTATCTCCCTCCCCTCCCACCTTCTGGTCCTCTGACCCCACAGACGTTGCTGTGAATTGTTTTTGTTTTATATGATTCCAAATAAAACTCAAGCTCAAGCCCCAGCTTCCTCTCTATTGCTGCCTCATTTGGAAAGAAACCCTCTGGGCCCTCCCAGGACAGGAACATGTGCGGCCTATCACGTACGTCAGGAAGAACGGGTTCTGGGCCGTGTACCCTACAGGGACACACTGGGTATTTCTGGACACGACTGAGAGCAGGCACCGCCTTCACCCCTGGCCCACTCACATGGCCTTCGGCTCCACCCTGACAAGCTGCAGGACATGCTGTCCAAGCAGTGCAAGCCCCAAATCCCCCCACGTGTCCAGCTTTGGCTCTTCCTCTGGGGTGGACCCCTGCTTGCCTGCTCAGCATCTTTGAGAACCACTGATGGCAGATGATCCTGAGTCCTGGGCTCCTGTGTCCTTCAGGGAACGGGGACATCAAACACCCTCTCTCAGCCAGACAGTAACTTTCAGAGATGGGGGTGATACTGCCCAGGCTAGAGTTCCCAGCGGAGCTGGAGCTGGGTTTTCCTGCCTTGGCCAAGAAGCCCCTCCAGGTGTCATTAAAACAAACTGCAGCCAGAAGCAGGTTCCCTTCAGGGGGAGTGTGGCTCCTCCTTCAGAGAAAAATACTAAAAACGAACATTTACTGAGCTCCTACTGGGCGCAGGGCACTGCTCTGAGCGCTTGCCTCTGTGATCCTCAGAACAAGCCTTGGTACTAAGGGGTGTAAATCTCAGTTTCACCAAGAAGGAAACTGAGGAACAGAGAGGCTAGGAAGTCAGGGTCCTGGGCACAAGTCCAGGCAGCCTGACCCAGAGCCCTCCTGTTGACCCCCATGCTCAGCTCTAGCCACTGGACTCCATGGATAGTGTGCTTACTACAGACTGTCCTGCCCACCACGGGGCCCAGCTGGTCAGTGCCCCACACAAAGGGACTGTGTGTACCATGCCCCAGGGCCTTGCCAGTTTCCCTGGGGACCCTGACCATCCCCCTTGATAGCTGGACAGTGGGGCTCAGAGCATCTAAGTGAGTTGCCCAAGGCCTCAGTCCTGAGGGTCCCAGCTGGAGCTTGAGTCCACACCTGGCTCCAGAGACTGCCTGTCCATGTGGCCCTGACCCGTTTGGCCTCCAGAGTGGACAGCAGGGGCCCATCAAGCACAGCTGTGGTGGGTTATATACTGACCCGCTGGCCCTGGGCTCCCACTGGTGAGGAGGCAGAAAGACACACAGGGCTGCGGGATCCCGCTGACCCCCGAACCCTACACTGGGCAGGAGTAAGAGGGTCTGGAAAAGGCTTAGGGCAGCAGGGGTGTCTCCACTCCCTGGCCCAAACATGCAAACGTGCATATCAGCAAGATTGTGCACGCCCCAGGAGGAGGCTCACCTGGGCTTGGGTGTGCCTGAGAGCTCTCTCACCTGGAAGAGAAAGCAGGGAGGAGCAGGGCTGGCTAGCTCAGGTGACTGGGGAGGGGATGGGGGACAGCTTATCCAGACCTGGCCCCTGGGCACAGTGTTTCACCAGGTTCCCAGTGCCCTCTGCCTCTGCTCCAAGGAGGCTGGAAGGGTCCCTGCTGCCTGCCCCCACCATATGCACATACTCAGGACCTGTACCTGGGTTCAAATGCCAAACATGAAGATCCACCTGTTCCAGGAAGCCCTCTTCCCAACCCCACAGGCACCAATAAAATCTGTTACGTGCTGGAGGCTTTGTGAGGCGGCATCTGACCTCCTTGGGGAAGTATGCTCCGCTGCTTCCAAAGAAGCCAGGCATCCTGCCCCCTCTTGCAGGGCCCTCTGCTGGAGCTGGGCACCCTCAATCCATTCAATCCTCACAGTAACATTTTGGGGAGGTTCTGTTATCTCCACATCAAGGATGGGGACACTGAGGCTCAGAGAGGTGAAGGAACTAGCCCTGTGGGGTACTCGAACCCAAGAGGTCTAACTCCAGAGTCTGCTGCTTGCGGCCCCTCTGAGCTGTCTCTCCCATCACCCGCCCCAGAGTTGGCTGTCCCTCCGCACAGAGTCTGCTGCCTCCCAGTCTTGCTCCCTGTCTGCCAGGCCTGGCATCACATCGCATCCTCAGTGGGTGCAAGACGAACTAGAGCACGGTAAAAGGACTGCCTGCTAAAGGGATGCACCACTGGTGGGATTTCCAGAGTGCTGGCAAATGGCTAAGCACTGGACTACCAACCAAAATGTTGGTGGTTCCAACCTACCCAGAGATGCCTGGAAATAAGGCCTAGTGATCTGCTTCTGGAGCCCTGGTGGTGCAGTGGTTAAGAGCTCAGCCGCTAACCAAAAAGTCAGCAGTTTGAATCCACCAGCGCCTCCTTGGAAACCCTATGGGGCAGTTCTACTCTGGTATATAGGGTCGACTATAGTGTCACTATGAGTGGAATCCACTCGACAGCAATGGGTTAGTGTTTTTTTTTTTCGGTATAGGGTCGCTATGAGTCGGAATCAACTCCACAGCAACGGGGTTTGATCTGCTCTTGAAAGGTCACAATCTCCAAAACTTGCACTGCATACTTGGGGGTCGCCCCGAGTCAGAATCGACTGGACCACAACTAACAACCCCCGAGTGCCAGGGCGGCAGTGAGGGGGCTTTCCTCGGCGCCTTGTGCCCTGGGCAGGGCCAGCTCAGGGTAGCAGCTGGGTGGGCGCTGGCCGCAGCTTTGTCTGTGCCTGGTGTCCCCTCGCCCTGCCTGGTCTCATTGCCTGCCCCTTTCTCTTGCTCACGGTTGACCTGCCTCCATTAATCCGTACCCGGCGTGTATGTGTGTGCCCGTGCACTTCCACACACTCCACCCCAAGGGCTAACCCTCCTCCGCTGCTTCTGCCCCAGCCTCCCCTCCCCCAACATGTTCTGGGCATGGGCCAAGGCAGTGGACCTTGGTGGGCGGGGGCTTCCCAGAGCTCCAGAATAGGAGAGACCTCAACAGAGTTGCAAGAGATTCCCAGATAGACGAAGAGTCAGAGAGGGTGGCGACGCAGGCCCCAGAGACGCAGAGGGGGTGGCCTCAGAGACCCAGAAGGGGTGTGAGGGGCGGCCTCCAGGCTCCGAAGCCGTACTCCTGAGTGGGAGAGAGTGGGTGGGATGGGGGGCCCACGTGCGCCCCCCGAGTGCCGAGGGGTTGTGCCTCGTGGGTCGTTTAGCTGTCCCCGGGATCCCTGGCCCCTCCAGTCACGCGCAGGTTCTTAACACCCCTCTCAGCACCCTCAGGTCGTCACCAAGCCCCGTATCCCAGGGAAGGAGACCTAAAGCGGTGCCTGCGGCTCGGCCGCACACTTCGTTGTGTGTCCCAGGGAGAGTCCCTGCCCTCTTTGAGCCGTGCTTCCTGCCTAACTTTGGTACCAACTGCGATTGCCTCGCCCGGGCGGGACACACACGAACCGCTTTCCCGGCTTCCCCTCCCTCCCACCTCGGGCTGCATTCCTCCCCTCCCGCCTCCCCGGGCTCAAACTGGCGGCTCGGCCTCTCTCGGGAGATTTACCACCCACCCACCCTGCGCCTGCTCCGTCCCAGTGGCTGCGAGGCAGATAACTAGTGGGGCTGGGTGTGCGGGGGTGGGGTGGGGTGGGGTGGGGGGCTGGTCGGTTGGGCGGTTGCCAGGGCCCTTGGGTTTACAGTCCAGAGACGCGGATTCCAGCCCCAGCCTCGTGAGTTTGCTTGAGACCTAACTCGACCACTCTGTGCCTCAGTTTCCCATCCTATAAACGGATGCTATTAATAACACCCATTTCACGAGGTTGTTGTACAGCAGACTAAAGCGTTAGGGTAGCGCCTGAACCGTGGTAAATGCTCAATAAAAGGCAGCTGCTATATTTAATTTCAACTCCAGCTTTGAGCTCCTGACCTGGCGCTGACTCCGCGGTCAAGGGTTGGGGAATTTTCAGGGTCGCCAAGGGAGGTGTCGGGACGACAGTTCAGCGTGAACCTCGGGAGGTGTGTGCGCCCCTCTCCTGACCCAGCCCCTTTCTTAACCACTGATATAGCCCTCTCCGGACTCCCCTACCTAGCCCCTCTCGGGACCGTCCCCCGAGCCTCCCTTCCTACGGCCGCCCTCCCGCGGCAGAATGTGCCCCAGGGGCTGCAGAGCCTGGAATAGGGCCCGGTAACTCCCCTGAGCCCGGCTGCCGGGAACCGCCGCTTCCCCCCTCCGCCCCCCGCAGGGCGGGCCAGTCCTGGGGCGCCTTGAAATCCCGAGCTGGCGATCACGTCGCAGCGGCTGTGAGTAGGATCCTACGTCGCTGACTGCCCGTGACGACCGCGAAGACCCCTCGCTACCATGGCCAGCAAGGGCTTGCAGGACCTGAAGCAGCAGGTGGAGGCGGCGACGCAGGAAGCGGGTGAGGACGGCACGCGACCTGGGGCACAAGCTGGAGCGCCTTTTGGATGCTCAGGGGCAGATGCGGAGAGTCTGCGCAGCCTGCAAGTCCGGCTAGGGTTTGGAAGGGCTCTCCCCGAGATGGAGGGGCGCACCCGAACTAGCGAGGGGAATGATGCCCCGAGGGAAGCGGGGGAACAGCGGTGCCCAAGGAGCCCAGGGGCCACGCTTTGTGCATTGCCAGAGGGGGCCGGGAGGGCGGGGAACAGGCCCACCCCGGTCCTTCGCCGCTGGAGAACGTCCATAGAGAGCACGCGCTCCCGCCACCTCGTGACGGTCCGCGGTGGTCTCAGTGCACAGGGCGGGACCGGAATGGGGGAGGCGGCTCCAGACTCCACTGGGCTGTGTTTCCACCTCCCCCTCCCCCAAATGATCCTTTTCTGACTTTCAAGTCCTCACCCAGCAGGCCTTCTTAGTGTGGGCAGAAGGGCCCTTCCTTCAGTGCCCTGGGCTTAGCTTCTCCACCTCCAGCTCCCTCCCCCTCCAACCCGAGGCTATACAGCTGTAGGAGCTGGAAGTTGGGGACTAGGGGATGTTGAAGACCTTGGGCCCACCAGGGTTGTTTCTCCCAGTCCCAGCCCAGATTGCCTTGGGAATCCAGCGCCCAGCCCATCCTGCCCATCCCCCAGTCAAGAGAGAACACCCAAACCAACCCCTCCTTCACCAGTGCCCCAGTGAAAGCCCACAGTTCTCCCATTGATACCAAGAAGCTGCTGGCTACAGGACTCTTTCTTCTGGACCTCACTTTTCCGGCTTGTAAGCTGGAAGCAAGGAGCGCTGGTGGCACAAAGCATTAAGCAAGCCCTCGGCTGCTGACCCAAACGTTGGCAGTGTGAACCCAGCCTCTCCTTCGGAAAAAGACCTAGCGATCTGCTTCTATAAAGAGTACAGTCAAGAAAACCCTTTGGGGGAGTTCTACTGTTACGTGGGGTTGCTATGCGTAGAAATCCCGACTCCACAGCACACAAGCTGGATGCAAAGGCTCCTCTGTGGCTTCCTGTCTGTCAGAGTCAGACAAGGACTCCAGGGACCGCTGTGAGCAGACCTAGGGCCTGCGTGCCACACTCCCTTCACCCCCAAGAATGGTATGTGGCGAAGGCAGGCCCTGTCCTATTCAGCAGGATGAGTCACATCTCTGCACGACCCATCTGATCACCTGGACACGGGTTCACCACAGGCGGACACTGTGGTCCCGAGGAGATGCCTGGCCTTAGAAGTTTCACCTCTTTCCTGCACTTTAACTCCTTAAGCTGCCTGCCCAGTGAGGCACTGGCATCACTGAATGGTGCCCTCTGGGGTGGCCCACAGGAGGGAGGAGGTGGGGACAGAGCCTTGCAAAACTCAAGTCCCTAGAGCCAAGTGCATGAAGGGCAGGAATTCAGGCATCTGGGCCAGGCTGTTATCAAGAAGTAGTTAAAGGGGGCGGGGGTCTTCCTGGGCCATGACCGGCACAAGCCGCAGCCCAGATGCCAGCTCTAGGCCAGCCTTCCTTCTTCTAGAAGACATTTTCTCAGCAATCCTGGAAATGGGAAAGGAAGCCAGCCAGAGGGGAGGGGCTCAGAGTTATAAATAAATGAGAACAGCCCAGAGGCGTGGAAAGAGCTGTGTCACTCACTGGCTGGTGGCCTTGGGCAAGGGACTTCACCTCATTGGCATCTGCCCGGAGGCCTATAGGACAGACAACTGTAGAGAACTTCCGGGGGCTGGTATGGTGATGCCCCTGTGATCAGCGGGGCCTTAACAGGGGCTAAATGACACATCTCTCTCTCTCTCTGTTCCAGTGACAGCGGCTGGAGCAACAGCACAGCAAATGGTGGATCAAGCCACAGAGGCAGGGCAGAAAGGTATGATGGCGCTGGAGGGGAGGGGAGGCAGAAGGACAGGCACACCCCGCTGCCCACAGTGCTCTGAGGCAGGCTTCCTGGGGAGGGAGACCCTGGCCAGGCTGCCACTGTGGGCGCTGACTGGGGCTGGTTCCCCAGAGCCTCGCCTCACCTGCCCTCTCCTTTCCTTCCCCAGCCATAGACCAGGTGGCCAAGTCCACCCAGGAAACCATCAACGAGACTGCTAACCAGGCTTCAGAGGCCTTCTCCGGTTTCGGGAAAAAATTGGGGTTACTGAAATGACAGAAGGGAGACGAGAAGTAACCCCCGTTCAAGCCCTGTCCAGCAGAAGATGGCTCTGAAGAGTGGTCAGCCGCTGCCTCCTTGGCCTGCCCCTCATTAAAACACATTTTCCCATTCTGTGTCCACTTCATTCCTCCCCCAAGCTGGGGCCAGCCCTTGCCCCACACAAGAGCAGAGGCCCCATATCCAGACATCCAGCCCCATATCTAGAGTCCTGGCCTTCCAAATTCGGTAATCAAACTGGCCGCTCAGAAACGGGTTTCCCAACCCCTCAATCCTGAGTTTAAGTCCAACCTCCTCTCTAGGTATGTGCCCCTCCCCCATCCACTCAGGAGCCAGCCCTCTCTTCCAAAGCCGCTCCCTTAGCTCCGGAAGCCCGGCCCCTCCTAGCAGGGGGTGCTCAGCCCCCAGGTCCTCAAGGGGCTCAGCTCGGGGAGAAAGAAGAAGAGATCCGAGGACCTTCCATAGTGCAGCCCCGCCGAGCGTCAGTACGCGGGCCCCACCGGGCAATGAGTCGCCGCCTTGGAAGGCCCAGGCCCGGCCCGGCCCCGCCCCGCCCCGCCCCGCCCCGGCCGGTGGTTTTGTTGTGTGGGGCCGCCTCGCGGCCTCGCCCTGCCCCTGAGGGAAAGAGCGGCCGGCGCACGGGGCCGGGCACGTGAGCCGGAGGTGCACGGACCTGGCCTCGTGCTGGCGCGAGGGCGAGAGACACTCCCCAAGCGTCCTTCAGTCCCGGACGCATCAATAGTCTCTGGCCCAGGACCAAGCTCAGCATTTCCGTCGGGCGAGCCCCCTGATGCGTTTGGGTCTCTGCTGCAAACCTGACTGCTTCCCACCTCCCAACACGTGTCCATGCACGCGACACCAGCGCTGAGTACGCCTTGCTGACAGGTGACTCACCGCTATCACAGACTAACGCTCAGCCCTGGCGTGGGCGCTGGCCAATGTGGCCCCTTAATGCGAACCTCCCGGGCCCTTCCCCACCTCCACGTCTTTGCACACTCTATTCCCCCCCGTGGTAATGATTCTACCAGCTTCCCGTCGAGCACACATGTACATTCCATTTCATTTCGACCATACTGAGTATGCAGCGCTGCCCATCCCGAGAAGGCTTAAAGGAAAACGCAGCATCTTCCTTCATCAGCGGACTCAAGGCTTACTGCCCGGGAGGCCTCCCCGGCCTGCCACCGGGGGGCAGTGGCCTCCTCCTCGGCTTCCAGCCCAGGTCGCCTCAGGTGATGTCCGAGGTCTCTCTCATGTGGGGGAATACGTCTCTTCCTTTCACCGCCAGCATCTCCCACCTTCACCCAGGACCGGGCCCAGTTCCACGCTTGGTTCCGTGTTGCCGACTGCCCAAAGAGAGCCTTCCAAAGTCTGCATAAAGGGCCAAGGCTGTCCCTAGAGCCCAGGAGGACAGTGCTTGAAGAGACACCTGGGGCAGTCGGGCCGCTTCCAGCATCTCCAGGAGCCCCTGCCTCAGGAAACAGGTGCAGGATGGGGAGAGGCCGCCTCGGCGCACGGGGAGGCCGTGCGGCCTGTGGGAGAAGGAAGGGGACGTTCTGATGCGCATCCTCCCCCACGTAACACAGGGCCCCTCCTGCTTGGGCTAACTATGGCGGTTAATCCTGTTCCACTTGTGAGTGATTGCTTTAGAAATGTATATGTGATCTAGTAAGGAGCCCTGGTGGCGCAGTGGTTATGCGCTGGGCTGCTAACCGAAAGGTGGGCGTCTGTGGGAGAAATGTGGCGGTCTGCTTCCCTAAAGAGTACAGCCTTGGAAACCCTATGGGGCAGTTCTTCTCTGTCCTATAGGGTCGCTATGTGTCAGAATCAACTTGATGGCAATGGTTTTTTGTTTTGTTTTTTTAAAATGTGACCCCATCTGGCCTAGGAGATGAGTGGTCAGATGGGGGAAGGAAGTCTAGGAAAGGATTTTCGTGCTTAATAAAAGGGACAAAGGAAGAAGCAGTCCCTCATCTTCCAGTGGCCATTTTTTGTGGCTGGCAATGATGCCTACAGGTGGGGCAGCCATTTGCAGCCACAGGAGGAAGGAGCCCAAGGAAAGAACCCACTTGCTGAGGAGGGCAGGGCAGCAACGTAGAAAGGACCTGCGTCGTGGATGACTTTATGGAGTACCTAAATCTACTGGTCTTCAACGCCACACAGGTGTTTGACAGGATACATTTTCCCCATTGTTTGAGCCACTGTGAATTGGGTTTTCTGTTGCAAATAAAAGCTTAAATCCTTCGATGTTGTCTGGACTTCAAGGTCCTGCCCTGCCCGGCCTCCTCACCTCCCCAGCCTAATTTTCCAAATCCCAAGTTTCCTGACTAGCCAAACACAGAGTCACTAACATTACAGTCGAGTTCCCTTTACACACACTGCATTTGTGGATGATGGTCTTTCTCTTAAAGAAATCTCTCTGGATGGTATCCTTTTCCTCCCTCCTCTGTACCTCCTCTTCACTGTCCAATGTTAGTCAATAGTATCAGCCTTCTTGGTATTTATCTTTGTCCTCTTAAATGTGCCAGCTCATATTCCAGTTGATTTCTCATCTTTGACTCACATCAAATTAGAGATGACAGGAAGAAAATTTTTCTATCTCTATTCTCTCTCCTGTTCTCCTGTTTTTTGTTAGTTGTCTCATTTCTACTTTGTGAAAACATGTAGCATTTACATTCCATTCTGCCATGCTTAGCCACATCTTTGTTTCATCTTACATCTTCAGTTAAAAATATTTAAAGCTCTCTGCCATTCCTTTTGCTGAAATATTTTCTGCTGTTGGTTGGTTGGTGTTAGTCTTCTAGAAGTTTCCTCAAGAATGAAATATTTATGCATGAAATGATATGACATCTGGGATCTGAGTTGTTATAGCTGTTATAGTCTATGAAGGTTCATTATATTCTCTATGTATGGCATTTTAAATTTTTTTTTAAAGGTTAAAAAGTTAAAAGAGAAGGGCCCATGTCAACAATATCCTGAGTTCTTAAATGTTTGTTACTTTTGGTCTGTAGCCTTTATGCTTTATGCTTGGCTGGGTTTGAAATTTGTAGTTCACACTTTTGTCCTTGAACGTCTTCTAGGTATTGCTGCTCTGCCTTCTGGCATAGAAGGTTGAACAAGCCCTACAAGTCTGATGCCCTCTGAAGTTTCTAATGGGCAATTTGATCCTTCTGACCAGCTGCCCTAGAAAATCTTTCCTTATCTTTATAGCACTCTAATTTATTTCCCTTGTATCTCAGTGATGATTGTCCTGGGTCAGTTTGGGTCAGTTTCCCCTGGTACATAGTTTGCCCTTTCAATATTGGTTCTAGATTTCTTTCATTTCAGGAACATTTTCCTAATTGTGTTTTAAAATAGTTGCTCTGTTCCATTGTTTTGTTTTCCTCTTTGGGATTTCCTGTTGTGGGTATGAGGTTCATTTCTACTGGTTTCCATAACTACTATTTCCCTAACACTGTATCTTTTTAATATAATTCCTTAAATTTTTTTTTCCTATTTGTTAGGTACCTACTGTAGTATCCATCTTGTACTGCTTATAGGTTAATCTTTATTTATTTTTTCTGGCTTCAACAAAGAGAAATTTATTTTCTCACAGTCTATTTTTTTTTTAATTGTACTTTAGATGAAGGTTTACAGAACAAATAGTTTCTTATTAAACAGTACACGTATTGTTTTATGACATTGGTTAACAACCCCACGACATGTCAACCCTCTCCCTTCTTGACCTTGGAGGACCTTTTTTTGGTGAAAATATACATAGCTGAAGTTACACCATTTCAAAAGTTTCTACACGTACAATTCAGTGACATCGATTACATTCTTCCAGTTGTGCTGCTATTCTGACTATCCTTTTTCCAAATTATTCCATCACCATTATCTTCAACTCACTGCTCCCTAGGCTTCCCATCAAACCTTTTGAGTTGCTGTTGTCAATTTGATCTCACATAGATAATTCTTTTTTTGGTACCTTA